GTCCCAGGCGGGACTAGAACCCGCACCTCTCGCTTTCCGGGCAAGTGCGCTACCAGTTACGCTACCGGGGCACCATTTCATTCCAACTCAGCTTTTCATGGTATACGTACCATAGCTTTCAGCACTCACACGTCTAACGTGTTGAGCCGGTTAGCCGATATCGGCAATGACCGCGAGGCTGAAAGCTTTAGCAATGAATTTTGACTTGTTTTGTTTGTTAACTGCTGTTTTAACGCCGCAGTTCGCGTTGCGAATGTTTCACAAGAATGCTGGGTTGTGAACAAAACTTTCGCCCCAGGCGGGAAAGCGAGAGCTGCGGGTTCTAGTCCCGCCTGGGACGAAAGTTTTGTTCACAACCCAGCATTCTTGTGAAACATTCGCAACGCGAACTGCGGCGTTAAAACAGCAGTTAACAAACAAAACAAGTCAAAATTCATTGCTAAAGCTTTCAGCCTCGCGGTCATTGCCGATATCGGCTAACCGGCTCAACACGTTAGACGTGTTGAGCTGAAAGCTATGGTACGTATACCATGAAAAGCTGAGTTGGGAATGAAATGGTGCCCCGGTAGCGTAACTGGTAGCGCACTTGCCCGGAAAGCGAGAGGTGCGGGTTCTAGTCCCGCCTGGGGCGAAAGTTTTGTTCACAACCCAGCATTCTTGTGAAACATTCGCAACGCGAACTGCGGCGTTAAAACAGCAGTTAACAAACAAAACAAGTCAAAATTCATTGCTAAAGCTTTCAGCCTCGCGGTCATTGCCGATATCGGCTAACCGGCTCAACACGTTAGACGTGTGAGTGCTGAAAGCTATGGTACGTATACCATGAAAAGCTGAGTTGGAATGAAATGGTGCCCCGGTAGCGTAACTGGTAGCGCACTTGCCCGGAAAGCGAGAGGTGCGGGTTCTAGTCCCGCCTGGGGCGAAAGTTTTGTTCACAACCCAGCATTCTTGTGAAACATTCGCAACGCGAACTGCGGCGTTAAAACAGCAGTTAACAAACAAAACAAGTCAAATTCATGGTAAATTTTTGTCAGCCACGGAACGATGAACCGAACAAAATGGTCCAGATTTACTCGCGATATGGGCTGTTCCTTCAGTTTTTCCTGCATCGCTTACATCCTTTTGCACTCTACGGCAGCCAATTTATCCAGAAGTGTCAATCTGCCTGTTAATAGGCTGTTGATTCAAAGGATAGTCTTGTTGATCGATCCTCGGTCTGAGTGGTTCCCTGATTTCTACGGTCAGTCAGCTGTGGCAGGCTGTATATTTAATTATTGGAGTGTCGACAAGAGGCTCCGTCACTGCGGCCGAGAAGCAGAGCGCAGGACGGGTCGAATGAGAATTTGCAGTGCGTGTTCGTGCAGAGTCAACCCTGCGTTGCGCAGTTCTCAACGGCCACGTTGCGCAGTTTCGCCCGATTAGACACGTTCTCTCGCGCGAACATTCACACTCGCATGCTCGAGCCGTCTGCGTCTCCGCCCATACAGCGTGCGTTGAGGATCTCTCAACGTGCCGTTGCGAACTGCGCAACGCAGGGTTGACTCTGTGTGCCGGTGCGAACGTGCTCTGACTTCGCGACACGCGGAATTTCGACTTTGACGTGAAATCACTGCAGTACGCGCTGCGACTTGTCCGCTGACCCGTCTGCGTCTCTGCCTTTTCGCCTTCATCACGGGTCTCCTGTCGGGTACCCGTATTATGAATACACGACCTGAACAACATAATGGTGGCTACCTATGGCACTCCGTAAAACCTTTCGCGCATTCAAGTGACCACACATGTTTGATTTTGGGACCTGATACATGACATATTGAGAACAGATTGATCAATCTCCTATTATTTATCCTTTTATGTTTATCTAGAAATGTATACAGCTTGAAATGTTCGCGACACGTGATTTGGAAGAAGATCTGACAAAGTGCTGCTTAAAGTTGGACGACTGACTCTTACTAGACCCTGTGTAGAACTGTCAGTGTCCAGCATGCGAACCGTTTTTATTTTTGTAATGATTCTAGAGGCTCGCGGTGAACACGTTTGGCGGGGGCAAACCCATTTATTAGCTGAACGTCTCCAGAGGGCGCACGCATAGTCGGTCGGACGACAGCAACGATCGTAACTGTCGCACAGCATTGGATGCGTATCGATCGTCGGACTTGCCTGAGTATTCGACGATTAGATGCAGTTAGACAGTCAGACAGTTGCGATCGTTGCTGTCGGACAACCGATGGCGATTGGTTCTCAACCATCCCCACCCCAAGCACGCTTAAGGGACTTGGCTTCTACCAGTAGCGCTAGTGGCGTCATCAAAACTCTTCCCATCGCGTTCATCTCCGTGCGCTGCCTCAAGAATTTAAAGTCATCTTACACATCTCAACTCTATGCTAAATCGTCCCAATAAGGACAGCACGTTGAGCTCTCGGCCACCAAAGAAACGTCTCTTTAGTACGCGTGCCAATTCACTTACACATCATAATCTCTAAGACATCTTAGAATGTTATCTGACTCGGCAGTTGACTTAAAGCAACAAGCCGCCATTTCAATTTGGTGGGGAAGCATGTCGATAATTGAAATTTGTGGGTGCCCGAGTTGGATGAAAATGGATAGAGAAGGCAAAGGAAACTGATTATACGAAGTTATTACGAACCCCCTCTCTTCCCTCTTGAAATGGGGAAGGGGCGTGACCGGACGAGTTGCTCCTTAGCTCCATTAGTCTCGCGTATCCTAACTAACCGCTACTTCGTAATCCACATAGGTTATTCACTACGGGAAATGTGAGGTTCTATATAGCCTCATTCATAAGCCATCATTAGCTCACCTTACAAAGCCCTAGCGCCATTGTTGCGCTATTTTGAGCCATAACAACTGCATAATTGTGATACCCTACTCTATCCTACCCACCGATTAGATTGTTCAACACGACCGCATATGTGGTTGTTGCTTCGAGAATGCCAACCGATCTACCAGTCAGTAACTTAATCATACCAGACAAACATAATACTTCGGGAGAAGGGAACGCTTGATTGACTAAATCGGCGTGATTGCGCGGCGCCTTTTATTGTGGCCCGGTCCTTGTATGCGAGACGGCTTCAGCATGCTTGTGCCGATAATTATTATGAGAAATATTGGATGTGCTGTTTTCTTCTGTGCCAAACAGGTTGTTACGGTGGAACACGTTTATTGGTCAACGTTTCGACAAATCGTCGTCTTCAGGACCTGAAACTGGTTCGAAGTCCTAGCTGTAGCTCACCCGGTAAAGCGCCTAATCTTGCTGAGTTCTAACGCAAAATAATACAAAATAGACGATACCAGCGAACGAACTAACCTGTTGTGGATCCACCAGTTTCTAGCAGCCTCCTCGTGTCAGTGAGCGAATAAAATGAGACACTATTGGACAGTCAGCGTCCTACGTGTCGTATGTGGTGATCTTATAGTCCACATAAAGGAATGAAAGGCAAGAATTCATTGGTAATGGCCATGCATTCATTCCGGTTGTTCAGTCTCGGATTTTTAACGCGGATATATAGCGCCTCTAACATTTTTCTCAGTCTTGGACCATCTTTTTCGATTGCACGAGGAATTGGACCCTCTACATATCGCCAAGTAGTGACAGGTCTCCATAAGCTAAGAGATCAGCTCAGAAGGAATGCGAGACGCAACGAACTAGAGAACGTAAATGCAGATTCTGAGCGATCTATGCTTACGCCAATTCCTTTCCCACGTTCGTTTTACAAGGAACCAGAACCTTTTGCTGAAATAGACATTAAATTTCGGAGCTCTCTCATCAGGGTGCTTGAAGTTCTTAACAGGCACAGGCACGAAAGGTTCTCAAACATTACAAACGCACAGTGGGAAGGATTTCATGAGATACGGGAACGCGTAGCAAACAATGAAATCCGCCTCTCTGTAAGCGACAAAGGAGGAGAGTTCGTAGTCTGCCCTCGTATACTAGATCGGGAAATTACTGAGCTCCATCTGAACGACACGTCCATTTATAGTCGCACTACAGAGAAAGCGTTTCTCACACAATGTCACAGGTTGAACGCATCATGGATATCAATTGGGAAGTCAGCAGGATTAGCCGAAGGATTGATCAAAAGATTGAAGTTGGATACTCCTTCGTGCCCCGTGTTTTATAGCCTGATCAAAACACACAAGCTGTCGGACGGAGACGAGCACTCGGTTAACGCTAGCGATTACAAAATACGACCTATCATCAGCTGTGTGGGAGGACCAACAGACCGCATTTCATGGTTTCTTGTTAAAATCGTTGGTCAACTCATCCGCTATGTACCCTCACACTTACCTAACACCAGAGATTTTCTTGATCGTCTACGTTCCTGTAGATTTCAAGAAAACTGTGTGGCAGAGTCATTCGATGTAACTGCGCTTTATACGAACGTGAACAATAGTGAAGCCTTACAAGCGCTCTCTGAAATGTTAGATGAGCATGGGACAGAAATTGTGACGTTCGGATTGAGCAAGGTGCATATTATGACCCTGATAAAAGGAATGCCTGAACTGTAATATTTTCAAGTGGTGTGGACAGTACTTCTCTCAAAATCGGGGGCTTGCAATGGGGCAGCGTCTAGCACCGGTTCTAGCTATCTGCTTTATGGGTAGAATAGAACAACCGGTGATAGCACGCATGCCCATTATGTATTGTCGATATATTGATGATTGCTGCGTAATTACTTCAACACAATTTGAAATGGATGAATTATTCAGCATCCTCAATCAACAATCACAATACATAAAGTTCACAGAGAAGCTCCACACAATGGTTGGCTACCTTACTTGAACACACAGATAAAAATCTCGAATGGTACGTATAGTGTGAAGTGGTACCGAAAAAGCAGCTCAAAGAACATCCTACTCCATGCGAAGTCTGCACACCCCATGCTGTAAAAGGTGCGGTTGTTCGAAACATGTACAGAACAGCGATTGGAGTCTGCACAGGCGACGTGGAGCGAGATGAGTCACGTAGGCTAGCTTCCGAGATCGCAAGAGCGAATGGCTATGGAACGAGGAACGAAGAATCAGGCTCACAGAGAAATCCCGCGAGAAATCGCGAAGGTTCACGAGGGCGTTCCGCGAGAAGTCGCGAGGAGTCACGAGGGCGTTCCGCGAGGAGTCGCGAAGAGATGGCGCACCTCCAGTTGCCTTTCATATCGGATAGAATTAGCATGGCTATTCGACAGTGCATTGCACGAGCGGACCTAGCTGATGACGTAGTTTTGATTAATATACCAGGAGACAATATCAAACGTCGGCTAATCCGCAATAGACTCTATGACCGCGCGTGCACAACGGATAACTGCGTTGTTTGCCCATATGGAAGGCAAGGAGACTGTGCGCAACGAGGGATAGTATACCAACTTCAATGTTCAACCTGTGACGAACTTTATATTGGAGAGACGGGCAGGATGTTGGGCGTACGTGTTAAAGAACATATGGCTGGAAAAAGGCGCGGAAATCTTCTTACTCCTCTTGGCAAGCACCGAGCAGAAGAACATCAGGGTAGTGATTTTGAAATAAAATGCAAAATTCTAGCTCATGAAAGCGACATCGGTGCTAGAAAAATGTTAGAGGCGCTATATATCCGCGTTAAAAATCCGAGACTGAACAAGGCCATACAGTTATTGATCTTGCCTTTCATTCCTTTATGTGGACTATAAGATCACCACATACGACACGTAGGACGCTGACTGTCCAATAGTGTCTCATTTTATTCGCTCACTGACACGAGGAGGCTGCTAGAAACTGGTGGATCCACAACAGGTTAGTTCGTTCGCTGGTATCGTCTATTTTGTATTATTTTGCGTTAGAACTCAGCAAGATTAGGCGCTTTACCGGGTGAGCTACAGAGCTAGGACTTCGAACCAGTTTCAGGTCCTGAAGACGACGATTTGTCGAAACGTTGACCAATAAACGTGTTCCACCGTAACAACCTGTTTGGCACAGAAGAAAACAGCACAATATTCAAAATGCCCAGGTTCCAAGGAAAACCGAACATGGAGTTTATACTATCAATAACTTCGTATAACCACTAGAAAAATCCAATAGAGAGGATTGAGATGATGGTATCTTATTGAATATTTAATACTGTATATTCCCATGGTTGTTCAGGTCCAAAGGACATTGAAAGTTACTATCAGGAAATTGGACGCGCAGGACGTGACGGCGATCCAGCCCAGTGTCATGTACTCTGGGCACAAAAGGATATAGTGATGAATAGGTATGAACTTTCGTAATCATCGAAACGTTTCAGGTTAAGAGAATTTACGTTCCAGATCACGCGTCAATAGATCTATGAGGGAACCCTACCTTACACATGCCTATGAGATGATTCGCTCTATGGAGGAATTCCTGAATTCGATGCGATGCAGACGCTAGTAAGTCTTCCATTTTAGTATTAAAGTCATAGGCTCTTCCTCTCGCACATCGTACGCAGGTTCTGGCTTGACGGAGTTTCGCTTAGCCTCCTTCCCCCTCATGTTCCTTTCTGTGAGATCTAGTGGCTAGATCTGCTGCCCTTCTTGTGCTTCCAGGCAGATAACACGATAAATTGGCTGCCGTAGAGGTGGCAAATGATGTAGCGATGCAGGAAAAACTGAAGGAACAGCCCATACCCGAGTAAACCCATTTTGTTCGTTGATTTCCGTGCTCGACAAAATTTACCATGACTGACGTCACGGTCATCATGTGAACGCCTTTGTCTGCTTTTCCACACTCTTTCGCCGCAGACCGGCTCGCGGCAACCTTTCTCACCAATCAGTTATGGATCAAGTCTGCCAGCTGGAGGCGAGATTCTCAATAGAGAGCGGCACTACGGCGAAGGCATTCCTGAGCCGCTCATTGCGAATGTTCACATCTCCGCCCGCTAGAGCTTCTGTTGCATTAGGCAGATTTCCGCTTACTCAACATGCAATGTGACGCATCACCTGCCCTTGAGACTTCCATCCCGTTCTGTTATAGATCAAATTTACCAACATCACTCATGGTCAGCATGTAATCTGTAATATTGTGTATAATTGCCATACTTAAACTCACTTCCACAGTGAATCACTCGGCGAACGTCCGATTTGTCAATGCCCATACCGAATGCTACGGTAGCTACTATTGTGGTATACTGAAAAAAGACCACTATTTGTTAATTTTGAAACATCAAAAGACGACAAATTCAGCCACGTGTAGAGCCAACCTTGTCCTGTATGAAGCCGTGGTGGGCGTCGTTTTTCGCTTTTTCACTCAAACCAGCGTGATACATGGCACACTTCACGCCTCGACCTGTAATAACAACGACATTAACAACAGGGATTACCAATTATATATACGGAGGCACGTTCCACGACTCCCAGCTGTGGCTGTTGCGTTGAAAATGGTACTAGAAGTGCGATTTGGACCGCCACGAAATAGGACCGCACCGAAGTGCTGGAAATGAGGAATGAGGAGGACTAAAGTGGTGGAATAGCACTATAGCGAACAGGCACTGAGCACCGAGATAGGAGCATATAGACAAGCGAGACGAGAGAGCACAGGGGATGAGCGAGACGCAGACACCGAAGCGTCTGTACTTATGCACGGTGAGAACTTTGAAAAGGGCTTTAAAAGCACTGAAGTAAATTTCTGGCGCCCTTGCCAAGCTATTTTGCATTGTGCGCACAAGTAGTCATCCACCACAGATAGCAGTTAAATTAGCCCAAGTGAAATCAAGTTTCTCACTCAATATTTTTTACCGAATTCTATAAAACCTTGAAGAACAGGCGCGTCCTTGCACAAGCAGTTTGAAAAATAGCGACATTTTTTTCTGACATAGTTTTCTAGTTTTGACGGTTCCGAGTCATAACAGCTTTTTCAAGGAATAGAAGGTAAACCACTCAAATGGAAAACATCAACTGATTTCGGGAATTCGAAAAATTTCACCATTTAAAAATACCGACCTCTCAAATGTTCATGTACAGTCTCCACCATAGCTCGAGTCTGACAGTAAATGATGGTAGCCCCACCAAAATGCCGTCCCTGAAAAGAAAAATGACATGTTCCCTTTCCAAAACAAAACTATTCGAGAAAGAGCAGACCAAGAGTCTTCAGAAAATCCAACAAAAGGGAAAAATTGACCTGTACATAATCTTCAGCAACTAATAGCTTCTCAAGATCATCTTTCATAGAAATCATCTGGCTGACCGACAAATAAAGATTTCTCCTGAAATTAGAGGCAGGGATCATGAAGTTCATGAAAATGCACCTCACCCGCATAAAGAGGAAATAAGTTGAACAGTAAAGCATAGCTTCTAAAAATCACCTGTCTAATCCGGTGCACAAGACAATGGGATTAACCAGCTCCAAGTTATCAATTATGTCTTTTTTAACCACTTGGGTGGCAGTCGCCGTCAACGCCATCACAGGACAATCACTGAAGATGGATATTTTTATTAGAGATTGAAAGAATTTTCTCGGGATTCTTCAAGTACACTTTTTCCAGTACATCAACAGATTCGCTTTTTCAGAAAACCATGCAAAATTGAACGTGAGACGCATCGTAAAATTACTACACATCTCGTTAGATTTCCTACAACTTTTCCTCTCTACGAAAACAAACACTAAAAAAGAAAAACCACTGACTGCAAGATTTTTCTGATCTTCGCTAGCTGGCGATATGAAGCACGGAAGTCATGACCCCATTGCGAGACACAGTGAGCCTCATCGATTGCGATTAGTTGGACCTCTGCAAAAACCTGCTTTTTGCTGCTCACAGAGCTTCAGTTTTTTGAAGCTAAACAGCCAGAAAACAAGCATGCACGGACTCACTTGACTGAAGTGTACGTAACAAGCTGGTTGCATTCTCCACATACTCCTGGAGTGAGGTACAGAAATCTAAACAAATCATTTCAACTATTTCTATTGACACTTCACTGATTGACATTAACCGAGTCCATGAAGCCACCGCAGCACTGAACTGACCACAAAATGTTGAAGCAAAAAAGGCATACCTCAGAGATCCATTCTGAATGTTCTCCATGATGCGATCTCTTTCGTTGAGTGAAGTAGTGCCACATAATATGGAAGCCGACACTCCATTCAAACTTAATAAAGAAGTTTTTGAGTGACAACTTTGCTTTTAATCGCGCGAATCGCTCAGAACCTGCGGAACCTGCGACAGATCGTGGACTCTGACACCAGCATAACGGTAAAATCAGAAGAACACTGACTGTGCTACTATGACACTATCTATTCAACATAAAGAAAGGAAGTGGATACGTGCACGTGGTCACCCCTGATAAGTATTAGTTGGTCTCTTAGCCAAGTGACCAATCATTTTCAAAACCGACCTAATTACTGCTCGTAAGGGGAGCTTTTCGAGCAACCACTAATCAAAAGCAAAGGAAAAAAGGAAAAGGAAAAGTATAAAAATTTACCGACAAAGTGTGCTTTTTAAGGTGCACTAAATTAGTTCCATGATAAATGCAATGAGTTGTGTGGGCCAGTCGTTATTGTGCAAGTCGTTATTTTATCCTCGCAAACGAGTCTGGGAAAGACAATTGACCGACCCCGGCGTGATAAAAGGTTTGGTTGACATGGGTGAGATTCCATCTGAGAACGTGGAAAACCAAGTGTTAAGCACCGAAACGTCGGCCTAATAAAAGTTCCTGTCAATCTTGGTTGGAAGCTCAGCAGCTCTCATATTCTGGTACCATGCCAAGATTTACGCACAGTCGAACGTGAACAAGTGTTAAGCGATCACTCAGACTTTTCCAGTCCTCCCTAAAAACAACAAAAGAAAAAACTCACGTTAGGCCCATCACTTGATCGTTCATCAAGATATAAGAGGTGATATCACCAATGTCAAGGATGAAGACATCAAACCCGGCAACTGATAGCACACACTTTT